CTGCCCGCCTGCAGCCCTGGACGCCTTCCTAAGAGGGAGGGGTCCACCTGAGCACCCACGAAGCCCCCCACTCCCGGCCCCACTCGCAAGCTTACTTTGCCTCACTGGGCTGCCAGTCCTCCCTGCCGCTCACCCACCGGCTGCTTGCTGGGCTGGAGGAGGAGGAAAGCGCGGCCGGCGACCTCCCTCCTCCGCACAGCCCCTGCTCCCGGGGCCTCTGCGCTGCCCAGCTGCGTGCCCGGCCCTGGCCCCCCACTCCGCCACCCCCTGCCGCTGCAGCCGCACTGCCTCTCGCTCTGGGAAACCCTCAGCGGGGCTCAAGCGCTGGAGGAGCACGGCAGCCCCACGCAGGTCGACTCGGAAGTCCGTCCCACCGCGGCCCACACAGGCACGCTCCGGCTCGGCCTTCGGCGGCCGGGGATCAAGCACGTGGCCTGGCTTTGGGGTTCAAGCCCCACTGCTTATAGCCGTTTCCTGGGCAAACGGCCTTTCTTTTGACGGGCCAGGCCCCAGAGCCGCCGTTCTGTGACCAGCCCCTGCCTCCACAAGAGCCATTTGGGGTGGCGCCCACAAGGCCATGAGGCCCCAGGATGGGCCGCCTCGGGCTGGGCTGCTCTTGCTGCCCACCTCAGCGCACGCTCGCCCAACCAGAGCCGCTTGGGGGATTGTCCCACGGAGGGAGCGTATCGCTGGCATTCCCGCCACAGGGGGCTGTTCGCTGGCCTCTCCTTCACAACTCGCCTAGACCTTAAATGAATTGCAACTGAACTAATGTTGTATCTGCAGTGTATTTTAACTAGGATGGTTGTGAACTTCCCCGAGCACACTGCATCGTGGGACAAGCCGTCAACAAACGGACTGTGATGACTGACCCTCGCTTTCCCCCGTGCCTCCCAATCCGTTGCGTTTATTACAAAAAGAAAAGCGAGAAAGGAATGCCCGCCTCGTTTCCAGCCGAATTTGAGCATCACATCCCGTAGGTGCCTGACTATGGAAAGTCATGGTGAGATGGTCTGAATGGATAGGATTCAGCTGGGCTTCCGACAGGCTGAGCGGAAGTCACGGAATCGCAGGCCGTTCGAGCCGGAAAGGGCAAGAGGGCCGGAGGGTCCGGCCCCTGCTCCGTGCAGGACACCCAGCGAGCCCCTCCCCTCGGAGGGCGGTCCAGCCCACCTTGCGTGCGCCTCGTGGGGGGGGCCCACCGCCTCCCCAGGCCAAGGCTCCACTGTTGTCTTGTTCTTCCTGCTCTCCCGCCAGCACTCGGCTTCCTGGAACTTGAGCCCGTTATTCTGTGCCTGCACTTTGGGACAACGGAGAAGAGATCCTGACCTTCCTCTTTGTGGCAGCCTTTGAGGTGCTTATAGAGGGACACCATGTCCCCCCTCAGTCTTCTCTTCTCTTCTCTTCTCTTCTCTTCTCTTCTCTTCTCTTCTCTTCTCTTCTCTTCTCTTCTTCTCTTCTCAGGGCTGAACATACCCAGTTCCCTCAGTCCCTCCTCACAGGGCAGCGTTTCCAAACCCCGGATCATTTTTGTTGCCCTCCTCTGCACCCTTTCTAATCTACCTGCATCTTTCTGAAATCTTGGTGCCCAGAACTGGACACAGAATTCCAGGTGAGGTCTGACTAGAGAGGAGTATAGGGGAACTGCTACTTCTCAGGATTTGGAAGTAATGCTTCTATTAATGCATCCCAAAATAGCATTTGCCCCTTTGGCAGCTGCATCGCATTGTTGGCTCATATTTAGTCTGTTGTCCACAAGAACTCCAAGGTCTCTCTCCGCTCTCTGGAGCCACACATTCCTCCATCTTGCAACAATGCGCTTCTCTTTCCAAGGCAGAGGACTTGGCACTGGTCCTCACCGAAAATCAGTGAGGCCGCCCTGGATCTTCACTCTGTCTTCTGGAGTGTTCACTGTTCCACCCAGTTTTGTATCATCTGCAAATCTGATTATCTTTCCTTGTCACGCCTCATCTAAATCATTAATAAAGATGTTGAGGCGCACTGGGCCCAGGACTGAACTCTGCAGCTCCCCACTGGCTACATCCCTTCAGTTTGAGAAGGGGCCCTTGATGAGCTGAACCCCAACCTGACCCTGGCAGGATTTCTTTCTGATATATCCAGGCAGGCTTTTATTCATCACTGCACTGTCTTCGAGGTGCTTGCAGACGGATTTTTAAAAAATAATTTGCTCCAGAATTTCTCCAGGGATTGATGTCAGCCTAACTGGTCTGCAGTTCCCAGGTTCATCTTTTTCCCCCTTTCTGAAGATGGGCACGACATTCGCCCTTCTCGTCTTCTGGCACTTCGAAGATGACGGCCAGTGGCTCCGAGAGCTCCTCTGCTGGCTCCTTTAAGACTCTGGGATGGAGTTCTCGGGCCCTGGCGATTTGAAAGTGCGGCTTCCGCCTGGGTGTCCCTGCCTTGACCATGTGCCTGTCAGTCTGGGGCCGCCATCTCTCACCATCAGCTTGTGCCTCTTCTTCGTTGTAGATCTTCTTGAGGGAGAAGGCTGGGGTGAGGGAGGACCTCTGCCTGTTCCTTGCCGCCTGTTATCGCTCTGCCACCCACCTTGAGTAGCTGCACACCCTCCTCTTCCTCACGTCTTCTGTTCTGGAGGCACGTGAAGAAGGCCTCCTCGTCGTGCTTCGCCTCCCCTGCCGTTCTCGGGTCACCTCCCGCTCCAGCCCTCCTGATGCCGTCCCTGCAGTTCCTTGCTCTTCGCTGAAAGTCCTCCTCCGGGCCGGGCCCTGCTTCCGCCTCCTGTGCACGCTCCTTTCTCCTTCCCGGCTGTCACTTACCTTTTTGGGGAGCCACGTGGGCTTCCTCTGCGGCCTTCTGCACTTTCGTAGCGGCCACTTTTTTGCTGGCTCTCCCGCACTGGACCCACGCGAGGCAGGGCAGGACGGGGCGGGACGGCCCAGAGTGGGATGGTGTGAATGGCTGTCCTGCGGGAGGAGTGGGCCGGGCCGGGTGGCCTTCCCGGCCCCTCCGGCTTGACTTGTGCATGAACCCATGGCCCAGCACGTGATGCATGCCCTGGCCGTGGCCTTCCCGCCGGAGAATCGGTTTGGCCTCGGCCAAGGGAGGGTGCTGGGCCAGAGAGGCCCGCAGTCCGTCCCAAGCAGCTCTTCTTACACCCTCCCCTGCAGTGCGCGTGTGCGCGGGAGTGCGCATGCGCATGTGCGCATCGAGAGAGGTGGGGGAGGGGCCCCGTGGCAGCGGCTGCTGAAGGCCTGGGTGCCGCTGAATACCCCGCAGGGCTCCTGCTTCCCGCCACCACCCCAGTGGCTCTGGGGGCTCTGCCCGCCCCCGCGGTGGGGCACCGCCCGGCTCTCCTGCCACACAGCACAGACCCAGGACGGGGCGGCCTCTCGGCCCAGCCGTCCAGGGCCCTCCCAGAGCGCCCCAGCATCCTCAGGAGGAACATTCCCCACGCCGGATGAAAAGGTCTGGGGCACATCCTGCCAGCCCCCCCGGGCGCCCTGGAGGCTGCACCCGGGGTAACGCTGCTGCCGGGATCCCCCACCCTGTCTGCTCCAGCCCCACAGCTGGCTGTGTGCGTGGAGCACATGGTGCGCTGCCCCAGTTCACCTGCCCCAGTTCACCTGCAGGCAGGTGTGCCGGAGGAGTGCCGTGAACCAGCACCAGCAGCGGCCGGTCCGGAGGGCGCCCTCCAGAGCTCTGCCACGGGCACACCTCCCATCTAAGGCAGAGCAGCCTTCTGCGCCAGGGCAGCACGGCCACGGCAGGGCCCCGATCCGTCCGGAAATCAGTTTTGCTCCACGTGTACATGCCGGGACTCTCTGCAAGCACAGCACGTGCCGCGCCACGGAGCACGGCTCTTTCCCGCAACACAAAGGCCCCGAGGAACTCGAGTCCACCGGGCAGTCCTGCGCCTGGCTGGCCGACTTGCTTGAGGGCCTCCAGCAGCTCGGAGCTGCTCCATGCCAGGCAACCGAGGCAGACATCCTCGGAAGCCCCCGCTGCCTCAGCGAGGAAGCGAGGCCGCTCTCCCGCCGGTCACCTGCTCCGTTCAGGGCTCCTCGAAGAGAGTTGCTAATGCCAGCACTTGTGCTCCGTTTCAAAAAGCTCCGATCTTCAGAAACAGAGCCACATTTAGCAATGACGTGCGCAAGCATCCTCTTGGGTCAGTCTTTGCACCTCTGCCGAACTGCCCTCCGGGCCCGCCTATCCCTCCTCTCCTCTCCTCTCCTCTCCTCTCCTCTCCTCTCCTCTCCTCTCCTGGTGCTGCAGAAATTCTTACATTGCTGTTTCTGCCAAACACAACCCACAGACTCCCCCAAGCTCTGCCCTCTGTCCCGGAGCTCAGGACTCTCTCCCCCGGGTCCTAAGAGAAGCAGCACGACCGGCACGGGCCCATCCTCGGAATGAGGCTACAAAGGGGCAGCCGCTGCCCGAGGGGCTCTGGGGTCACCAGGAGCCGAACGGCGCTGCTGGGCTGCCTGTGCGTGGTCTCTGCGTCTGCTTGCGGGGAGGACAGCTTTGTCCCTCAGAGTGACACGGTCCCCGAGAGCCACGCTGGCTCTGGCCGTGGATGGCAATTCACACGGGGCCTCCGACCCTCTCCCTCCCGTGACGCGTGCCGAGTGGTTGCGCCCCAGAACGCCGTGCCAGTCTCATTCCCGAGAGTGTGCTGGCCCAAAGCTGGTGGGTGGCCAGCGCGGGACACCCGCCCCAGCGCTCTCTGAGAGGACGGCCATGCCGCCCTGCTGAACTCTGGGGACCCCGCAGGAGCCACAAGCTGCTCCCCCGGCCTCCCCGCCCAGTGGAGGGACTCGGGGTGAGCCGTGGGCCGCCCTGCTCCGGCCACCCTGCCCCCCGCCCCCCCCGCCCAGTGGAGGGACTCGGGGTGAGCCGTGGGCCGCCCTGCTCCGGCCACCCTGCCCCCCGCCCCCCCGCCCAGTGGAGGGACTCGGGGTGAGCCGTGGGCCGCCCTGCGTCAGGCCCCCCCCGAGAGCGCGAGACGCGCCGAGGATTACCCAGGAGGAGTGCTCCTTCATCTGGTGCTGGTTGCTGTGGGCGCCGCTCGCGTGGCCGCGCCAGAAGCAGTTCTGGCAGAGCTGGTAGTTGTGGCACTGCTGGCACCGGTACCGGAAGCCCATCATGCTCTCGCACCGGCAGTACGAGCACTCCACCGGATGGAAGACTGCGGAGAGAAGGGCGGCCGCGTCAGCCGGCTCCAGCGCCCCCGGGCAGAGGGCCGCGCGCAGGGCCCCTCGCGGCCACCGGCAGGGCCTGCCCCTCCTCCGCAACCCCGCTTTCCGTCCCCGATCCCCGTCGAAAATCTGGGCGCAGCACCGTGGCCTGCCCAGAGGGTGCAGGGCCAAAAGGGGCACACGCCGCCACGCTTGCTCTGAGCGGCCAGGGAAGGCGGCAGCGCCTCTGGGCCTCTCTGTGCCTGCCAGCTCATCGTGGTGCTGGTGACAAGTTCCTTTCTTCCACCGCCCAACCTCCAACGGCGCCTGGGCCGTCCCGAGCACGCGGGGTGCACAGACCCCAAGTCAGTCAGGACCCCGAGTGGGGAAGGGGCCCCTTCCCAGCTCAGCCTGTGCGCTCGGCTGGCTCTCTCACGAGGAGCCCGGGCCGAGCCGTGGCTGGCGTGGGCGCGTGGACCCGAGGCCGAGGGAGGACCCAACGGGCCCGGGCCCAGCCGCAGGCCTGCCGGTGCAGCTCGCTGCAGGGGAACACAGGGTCTGCGGGGCCTGAGCTCAGAGGCGCTCCAAGGCTGGGCCTGGTGAATCTCGGCACCGGCGGTCGGCGGAACAGGGGGCAGGCGGCCTGCTCAGAGCTGTTCTGCAGCAGCACCGGGATGCCGCTGCCCGCCCTGGTCCAGAGGGCTGCTGGTCACCGGGAGGCAAGACAAAACGCAACAAAAGCTCACCGCGGAAGGCCTGGGACGGACGAGGAGCACAGAGCCACTCAGAGCGAGCCAGAAGGGCCCTCTGGGGCCATCTAGCCTGACCCCCGCTCCAGCCGGCTCCGCTCACAAAATGCCTGCCATGTGCTTGTCCAAACTAGGCCTCTCAGAAAGGGGGGTGCCTCTGGGGAAGCCCCTGGGCCGGCAAGCGCCGACCCCAATAGGAAGTGGTATGGAGACGTGCTCTCGTCCCCCTGAACCGAATGGGCAGGATGGCCCTGGAAGGGAGAACGTCCTCGGGAAGAGGCCCACGGGGAGCAGCGTGCCATCCGGCGGGGCGGTCACTGGCCCTCAAGCACGCCGGACCGGGCACATCCCGTCGCAGCGCCCCCCTCCCGAGTGGCACCGAGAGGGCAGAGAGGGCAGCCAACTCCCGTGGGGAGCGGCCACCCCCAGGCACGGCACGGCACGGCACGCTTCGGAAGGCCAGCCGCGCTGTGCTCCGCCTGGGGGGTTTCTTGGAAGCTCCCGGCCGGGCACTGTGGCCTTCGGCCTGGCTGAGCAGGACTGCCTCCCGAGGACCCGACCGGGGGAGTCTCAAGAGCGTGAGGCCCCCTGGCACACCCCAGGAGGCGCACGCCGGCCCTTGGCACGGCCCGAAGGGGACGGGCGGGGCGCACATGCGCGCGACTCACCATTCTCCACGTGGGCCAGCCTGTGCATGAGAGGCAGCCACACAAGGCACTGGGGTGGCGGGTCAGCCATCAGCGTGTCCAAGAACGTGTTCAGCATGACCTTTTTCTGCGAAGACAAACAGACTGAAGGGGAGGGCCCTGTGCTCCGTTGCGGGGGGGGGCTTCATGCCGCATGCCAGGTGCCTGTTGGACCCTCCACCGGCCCCCCGGGCGAGCTCGGGCTCCCCCGAGGCCCGTCGACCTCGAGCAGCCGGCCAAGGCCGTGCTCACGCCTCTTGCCGAGCCTCGGGAATCCAGGCAGGCCGGCTGCGCTCCACAACGTCCCTGCGCGACTCTTCAGGGCAGGCCGCGGGCTTCATGCCCGCCACCCCGCACAACCCCAGGGGAGGGCCAGCAGCAGCGCCCCCTGGGCACAGAGGAGCTGGTCCCATTCCCGGCCCCCCACTCCAGCTCTCTGTACAACCAGAATGGTGGGGGGAGACGACTGGCGGGCGCGAACATCCCCACGGCCGTGACACAGATGCTCCAGCCGCTCCCTGGGGCCCGGCCTGCGCGTCACACCCAGCTCACTCCTCCCGGGCCGGTGTGCGGAGGCGAGAGGGCGGTGCGGCCGTGAGCCAGGGCAGCTGGACAAGGTCCGGGGGGCGGGGCTGGCGGCCCAGTGCGTGCACCGGCAGCCCCGGCTTCTCTCCCCCACACGCCAGAGCTGCCAAGCAGAATTTCGCCCTGGGAGCAGTGGGGCAGCACACGCCGGCACGCGTCCCTGTGCACCACAACCCGGCGTGAAGAGGCGGCAGCTGGGTTGTTGCCCTGACGTGTGAACGGGCCAACGTGGGCTGTGGATTTAACTAGGTGGCTTGCGGAACCGGGCCTTCCAGTCAGTTGGAGAAGGGCACTGTGCTTGGGAGACGCGTTTCCGCGGCCCAAGCACGACGCTTCCGTGCAGCGCAGGGCACCAGCCGCCTCCGGGAGCGGCTTCCGGCCCGCCAGCGCCACGCGCACCTGCTGAGGGAAGCAGATCCGCACGGAGTTTTCTGTGTAGCCAAAGGAAGGCCCTTCGAACACAGCGGTGGGCAGCTTCAGGACCTCTCTCAGGAACTGGTCAAACTTTGAAAATATCATCAGTCCGTTGGAATCCGACATTTGAGAGAAAATATCTAAAACACAAATTAAGAGGGAGACTTAGATTAACCGCAGTTTAAGTGCTACTCCTGCGATATAGGCACAACTTTAAGCTTATTAAATGTATTCCAGCCAAACAAGGGGAATTAAATATTAAGCATATTTCTTAAGCAAGGTATTTTTATCTTCTGCACACTGAAAAATTGGCTCTAAAAGTCACAGGCTAATTTCTTCTCAGGGTGGCGGTAGAACAGTAGGAGAGTTTAACAAATTTTTTATTTTTTAGACGGGGAGTTGCAGTTGAAATCCTTTGCTGAATTGTGGGAGGGAATGAGCCGAGAGCCAGAGCGGCTGAAGACAAGCCGACTTCATGCCACATCATCCCTGCGAGAGGTTGCACCCGTGAATGAGCGCGGCAGAGAGAGTGGCGGCTACTGGCCAGGGCGGCTCGGGGCCAGGAAAGACCTGCGTGTCCACGAGGACGGGAGGCTGTACGAAGGAACCGGATGGAGCCTTCCCTCTCCGAGCAGGTACGCAGCAGGTGGGACGGGAAAGCCCAGGTGCCCGCAAGGGGAGCTCTGGGGCTCTGGGGGGCGGGGGGGAGGCCTCGCAGAGGACCGAGAGGGAGCAGGGAAGGCGGGCCTGCGCTGCAGCCATGTCAGCTGCACCGACGACAGAGAAGCCCCCGCAGGCTGTGGCCTGGCACCGGGGAAGCAGGAGGGCAGCGGGGCCGATATTCCCGGCAGCAAGGAGGCGCTTCCGAGCAGCAGCCGGGCCCATGCGCGAGGGGACGGGGAGGGAGGGAGGGCGGGCCGCGGGAGGGACGCTTCCTCTTCGCCACCCACCTCGCACGGGCTGCCGTTTTGCTACCCGCAGCCAATCCTGCTCTCATCAGAGAAGCAGAAGGGAGATGCCGCCCCGTCGGCCTGCAAGCTCCCCTTCCCTGCTGCCATGGCTGCTGAGGCTCTGGCGCCCAGGGAGCCCCAGCTGGTGGGGCAGGACAGAAAGCTAATCAACGAACGAGCAGACAAGCCAACCAGCCAGGCATCCCCCTGAGCTGAGGGCGCCAATGCCGGGCCCGCAAAGGTGAGGATGCGTGCCGAGGATGCGCTCCAGCGTGGAAGGAACAGCGGCTCGCCTGCGGCCGGCCCTTCAGGCGGCCACCGGAGCGTTCGCACAGCGAGCCCTGGGCCTGCGGAGGCGCGCTCGGGTGTCTCCGCGGGTCGCCCCCTCCTCTCCCGGTCTCCACGGCCAACAGGCGGCAAAGGACCAGCAGGCTCGGCTCTGAAGCGGGGCGCTGGGTGGGCTGGGTGCTCGCAGAGGGCCCCTGAAGCAGCGCACTGATGGCGCACGGCGTCCCCATGTCCCCCGCATCCGGGTGGCCCACAGGCCAACGGGCCGGCACAGGCGGGTGCCCCAAGGACAGCCCGGAGGAGCAGCGGCCTGGCCACAGCAGCAGCAGCGGCGGTGGCCCAGGCCCGGGCACCTGCCGCACGGACGCCGGGAAGGAAATGGGTGGTGCGGCCGGTGGTGCAGCGATGCAGCACTACGGGGCCCATGATCTCCAGCAGGATGGAGAGCCCTCCGACGCATGGGCCAGGGCCAGGGCCAGGGCCAGGCCGTGGAAGCCGGAGCGCTGCCAGGGCCAGCGGGGCAGGAGGGGCTGCCAGGCGGGGGCGCCCCGCAGCCGAGAGGCACCGGGAGCAGAGGAGGCAGCGGCCGAGGCGTGGCTGGGCCCAGGGCGGCGGAAAGGAGCCGGCCGGAGGAGGGCATGGCGGCACAGGAGCCAGGGAAGCCTGAGCATGCGCTCCTGAGGAAGGGGGGTCCAGGGGCGGGGGCTGTGGGGCCGAGGGGGCTTCAAAGCTGTGGCAGAGGTGGAACACGGAAGCGGGGGGGGGAGGAAGGGAGTGCTGGCGACCCCCGAGTGGTCCTCCGCCCAGGCACTCTCCGTGCCCTGTCAAGCACCAAGGGGCACCGCTGCCCCAGACCAGTGGGGCCGCCAGCAGGGGGAAGAGTGGCCCCCGAACGAGAAGAAGGCCATGTGCATCCGTGCCGCGTGGCCCCTGCCCTGGGAGCCCCGTCCACAAGCTCAGAGCAGGCGGAGCCGGGGCAACGGGGCTCTGGGGAGCCCCAGCAAGAGGCTGCTGACCGTGAGGCCCTGGCCGGAGTCCGGCCGCGCCCGACCTCGTGGCGAGAGGCAGGCTGCACGGATGGCCGCCCTCGGCACCTGCAGGAACAACCCGGAGCTCGTCAGGTGCAGCCAAGTCACGCTCCAGGTTCGTGCCCCCCTTTTCGGGATGGGTTTGGCAGTGGAGCGACCGTCACCGACGATGCTGGATCTGCAGAGGAGTCCTGAGGAGACCGTGAGGGCCTGGGCACCCCGGCGAGGAGCAGGGCCCCGCCCGCTGGGGGCGGGTGGGCGGTCCTCTCCCCCCTCTCCTCTGCCAACAAGGACGGGGCAGCCCGGCCTCGGCCTCCTGGAGACCCAGTGAGCAGGTGAGTCTGGCCTGCTGGCCCAAGACCCGCCAAACCCTCCCTCGGAGTCGGGCAGCCGCCACACGCAAGGACGGAGCTCGGACGGCTGAACACCCTCCGGGGCCCCCGTGCAGAAGGCGGGTTCGGGGCCCCCCGGCAGGCTGCAAGAACAGCCACAGAGGGGCGGCCCCGGGGAAGCAGGGAGGCCCCGCCGCCCCTGGCACTGGCTGCCGCGGGGGCCCTGCAGGGAGCAGGGGGCCGGTGGGAAACCCTCCGAGGCTGCGTTCTTGGCTGGGAATTCCCCGCCTTGTGCCTGCCTCTGCTTGTGTGCAGTTGCCTGGCCTCACGCCTTCTCCTGAACTCAGAAGGACGCTCGCACGAGGCTCGCTTGCCACGCAGCGCCCGCAGCCGCCTGCAGGCGAGCCGGAAAGCCAAGCACCGGAGGGCCAGCGCGCGGCATCCCTGCAGTGAAGGCACCCAAGGCAGGCAGCCAGGCCGGCAGGCAGGCCGGCAGGCAGCTGGTAGAAGTAAATGTGCCGGCACTGTGAGCCAGAGTGTGTCCACAGTGCACCAAGGATGCAGACGCATGAGACGACTTGTGGGAATTCTCCTGAAAAAATGCAAAAATGCGCGGCTGCCACAGGAAGCCACAGCCGAGAAGTAGCGGGGCTCATCGCTGGAACACGGGGACGTTCTCCAGCTCTGCTTCGCTGGCGGGGAGCCCGTTTGGCAAGGCCGGCAAGAGGTGCCGGAGTCAGGCCTCTGCCTGCACCCCCCTGGCTGGGGCCGAGCGGAGGGCGCGCCTGCCCACCGGCAGAGGCTCACCACGGGGAGCGGGGGGCGGGGGGGGGGCTGCACGGGCCAGAAGCTCCGAGGCCACGGGGGCCGTGAGCCATCCTGCGCAGGCCGCAGCACGACGGCCGGCCACTGCCCTTGCGCGCCGCGGAGGGTGGCTGCTCGAGTGACAGAGCGGGGCCGTGGGGGAGGCGGGGTCACCGGGGCGCTCGCAAGGCTGCGACTGCCGTGGGCGAAGAGAAAGCGCGCTCCCCCGGGGGCGGGGAGGGGACCCCGGTGAGGACTGCACAGTGTGACAGGTCCTTCAGCGATGGCATGGCCGGAAGCCGGGGCGGTGACGCAGGGAGCCCGAAGGACCGCGAACGGGAGCGTCCAGGGGCAGGATGGCGCTTCGGGAGAAAACGCGCTCCGTTCGGTCGCTTCTCAAGGGAGGCTGCAGCCGGGCTGCAGGTGCGTCCGTCCCGCTCCCACGCTTCCCAGGCAGCCTCCTTCCCACCCGCAGCAGGGCTGCACTGGGGGGACGCAGGGGGCGCCCCGGCTGGCCGCACGGTTCTGTCGACCGAGCAAGAGCAGAGTTTCCTCAGCTGAAAGGCGGTGTCCTTAAATACTCACATCTTAGCTTGTCCTGAATTTTTCCGCCACACATAGTCGCCAGCATGGCCTTTACGGAAAACACCGTCAGCTTCCCGTGGCCCTCGCTGCAAGAGACAAGCCACAGTCACCCCAGGGAGCATCGTGCCGCCGCCGCTGCAGCCGGACGGGCCACGCACGCCCACCTGCACGCCCCCGTGGCCGGGCCCACGGGACGCCGCGCCCTGCCCCGGGAGCACGGGGGTGCACAGGGGGGGGGGCTCACTGCAGCAAGGGGGCTACCGGGGCCCACCCCGCCCCTGCGGAGCCGAAGCGACCCCCCGCCATCCTTCCGGAGGCACCTGTGCGGCACCCCGGGAGCCCCACTCACCTGTTCTGCCCGGCAGGGCGAGCCTGTGGGGTCCCCGGCTAGAGCGAGCAGCTTCGGGGGCGAGCCCCTGCAAGCAGTGCTCTGCCTGGGGCCGGAGCGCCACGTGTGCAAAGGGGGTCCCCCAGGGCCCGAATGAGCTCTCTTCCCGTGCCTCCCAGCCAGGCCTTCATCCCCACGAGGCCTTGCCCCTCTTCTTTGCCCCACGCCAGCGCCCCGAAAGCGCAGGGAGAGGCGGTGGGGAGAGAAGGAGCTGTGCAGGCGGCGAGGGGAGAGGCCTGGAGGAGAGAAGGGGCAGCTGGATTTGACCTCCTCCTGCGTGCCTAGTTTCTACCCCCATTCCCACAAGGCTTCTTCCCTCGGGTTCGCCGGTTAGCACGGGGTGTTGAGCAGATGGTGGCTGATGTAGAGCAGGAAAAGATGGCAGAGCGGCTTCCCTCACGCCAGCACGGCGAAGGGGGGCGATGAGAGCCATGCAGCTGCCTCTGGACATGGGACCTGCAGGAAGCCCTGGGGGAGAAGCGGCTCTGAATGCCGCAAAGGCCACGGTGGAGAGCAGGTCAGAGCACCTGGCGGGGGAGCCAGGGCGGGGGCCCCGGGAACAACAATTCCAGGCGCTGAACCCCAAGTCAGGGCGGTCTGGGTGCAAGGTCTTGGGGTGCAAAAGGGAATCAGGGAGGGATCCCAACAGGGCAGTGCTGTGATGATGGGCGATTGCCCCCCCCCCGACTGCACAGGCGCACGTTCCCGTCATGACGTGGACGCCACATTCAGAGGGCCGGACACAGCAGGCCACGCAGCTGAGCATCTGCTCCGGGTGGACTGGGCGAAAGCGTGGCTGAGGACGGAAGCGGGGCCCATTCGGAGGGCCTCGAGGTGCTGCTCTGTGCCGTCAGGGCACCCCCGTCCTGTGGTGGCCCCACGAACGGATGCCGTCCGGGATGGCCAGTCCTGGAGACGGAGACAGCAAGGCAGCAAGGAAAGAACTAGGAAAGCGCTCCAGCGTGCGGAGGTTTCGCTGGAGGCCACGGCCAAGGCCATTTCTGGCCACTACGTGGGAGTGTGGAAGCCAGGCAGTGAAGAAAGCTGACCAGAAGAAAATGCGTGTGGGCGGCTCCAGGGGTGGGCGAGAGCTTCGGGAACACACTGGACAAGACGCAGACGAACACGCAGCTCCCGGATCAAATCAAGCCAGGCAGAAGCAAAAACGACCGAACAGGCTGCCGCACTTCGGGCACATGGGAGAAGGCAAGGCGCTCGAGCAACCACGGGGCGGATCGACTCTGCCAGGGCAGCCACCGCCTTGAGTGCCCACGAGCTGAGCAGGGCTACCCAGAACAAGCCGTGTTGGGGGGGCGCATCCACAGGGCTGCCTTAATTCGGAGACACCCGATGCCCCAGCACAACCGCGCTGGCAACGGTCACTGGCCGTGGGGGCAGAATGTCCCCACCGGCCTCTGCTTGGGGCCGCCGCACGTGGCTTCCGGTGGGTGGCTGGCCAGCCACGGCGGGAACGGAATAGCGGACCCGAGGGACTGCTGTCTGATCCAGCACGGCTCTTACTGCATGTCCCCAGTTTCGCTTGCTTACTCCAGAGCCCTTCCAGGAAGCTGGGAAAGACGCTGTGGACAGAAACGCTCCGCCTGCAGCTCGCACCTTCCCCACAGATCCCGCAGCTGCTTCCGCTTTCCTGGAAGTGTCCAGGCTAGGGAGCCGCCACTGCGCTCCCGACCCTCCAAGGAGGCACAGGTGCCGTCAGTGACCCCGGCGGCATCGTGCGGCCTTGGACGGGCCCGCTGGCAGGAAGCAGGGGCCGGGCCTTGGCCAGCAGGCACGGCTGTGCGGGGAGCCGCGATCGCAGCCGCTCGGCCAGGCTGCCAGAAGAGCCCGGAGGGGCTTGGCATCCCCCAGTCTGGCTCGGCCGTAGCCTGCTCCCTTCGCTGCTGGGAATGCTGCCGATCCGGCTGGCGGACTGCGTGGGTGGGGGGCATCCATGCAGTGGCACACGGAGGTCGACTTTTCCCGTGGCCGAGGGGGTGGCGAGTGCCACAAAGCCGTGAGATCTCTGTTGCACCGCCAGCTGTGCCACGGCCCAGCCATACTGCGTGAACGGGTTTGTGCTGCTTCTCGTGCCCATGCACCCTGACAGCACGGCCGGCACCCCCTCCCTGCTGCTGCCCCCACAGATCTGCTGCCACGTCACGTGCCCGATGACGGGGGAGCCGCCACAAAGCGTGTGCTGCGGCAGGCTTCTGCCAAGGTGCGGCACGGGTCTTTGCTGCCTTTGCTGCTGGAGGCCCACACGGCTGCCTCTCCGGCCAGGGCCAGCAGGAGCGACGACGCCTTCTGCACAACAGCTGCCCCAGATCACGAGTGGCCTCGGGTGGCGCAGAAGGGAGAAGGATCCCACGGAGGACTCCAAATCCGTAACGCTTTCAGTAAGAGCGTCTTTCAGACAGAGGAGCCACAGAAGTTACACACCCAACCGAAGCGGTTTGGTAAGCACCTGGTGTCTCCTGCGTTTAAGACGACCAAATTCTGCACGCAGAGAAAGACCGCACCTTTGCTCCATGCACCGTGTGCGGCCCCCTCAGCCTCCACGTGCTGCAGGGAGCTGGGAACGGCTGGGCGTCTGCTGCGACCTCGCGGGAGAGCAGAGTCGGTGCGTGCCTGTTCCCGCAGGTACCTTGCCTCCAGCTCGCGGGAGACACGCGCCTGTGGCGGGAGCCGAGGGGAGCTTCCCTCGGGCACCTGCTCCTGGGGATGCCCTGCAGCTCCCCCCACCAACGGTGCAGGACTTCGACATCGGGGGCTTTAGTCCGCCACCGGGCCTGTATATCTTCCTGGAAGGGAGACTACGGGCCAAGAGGGGAAACCCAGGAACCTCATCTCCACGGCGATGGTGGAGGAGACCTGGCACTGGAAGGAGGGCCAGGCATGGGGGACGAACGCGGCCCAGGCTGCCGCGAGCCGTGCTGCGCTCCATCCTTCCACCTGCAGGTTTGATGGTCACCCTGTTTATCTGTTAGAGTTACGTCCCACCCGTTTTCATACAACAAACTCGGAGCAGCTTGCATCCGCCTCCTCCTCCTCCTCGCTCGCCCTCTGGTCTCTGGGTGCTGCTGTCAAGGGCCAGACTGGTGCAGAACGAGGCTTCCCGCTGGCGATCCGGCAGGGGCCGAGGTGGCTGACCGGGCACGCACCACCACGGCAGGGGAGCTGCCGCCTCCCAGCGGGGCCACCGCGGGACTGGGTTCAGCGGCATGGTTCACAGTGCTCCTGATCTTTTCATCTGGTCGTGGAAGCGGTGATCTGGATGGGAAGGGGTGCCCTTCCTCGTGGCAAAGCCACCGCTTCCTGCAGGAGGGCAAGGGTGTCCCAGAAGCCACGCTCAGTGGGCTCGGTTCAGTCTCCCGGGTGCCGCGCCGTGGCACTTTGGGGGCCCACTCCCTGCTGGCCCGAAGGACGCTGGAGACCCGTCTGAGGCCCGCTGCAACACACCGCTGGGCGCTTCCAGGACGACAGCTCTTGCCCCTGCCGGGACTTGGACTCTGGTGCCACTGGGTCGGGCAAGGCTCCTGAGCACAGCCTGGCCTCGTTCTGCCGGGTGCGTTTGCCCGGCGCAGCTCAGGATGCCGGCAAGGCGCTCGGACAGGTTTGCACAACTTCCTTTGCTCCGGATCCGCCCCCTTTGGGCTGATGAAAAGGGGGACCGGCTGGCTGGGTCGAGGGGCAGAGCCGTGCCTCCTTGAGAGAGGTGACAGTGGCCCATGCCGCCTGGAGGAGGTTCAGATGAGGCTGCTCCCGAGGAAGCCTCATCCCCCCGAACCCGGAGGAACCCGCAATCCAGCCGGCGGCAAACACCCCTTCCTGGGCAGGGGGCAGCACTCTTGGGTGAGGCTGACCACCCGGACGCATTTCAGTCGGGCTCAGCCCTGGTGTTGGCGTGGAAACAGCCTCGGTCGCCCTGTGTGGAGACCTCCGCCGGGGAGGAGCCGGGGGGGGGCAACCCTGCTGGCTCTCTTGCACCTCCCTGCAGCCTCTGCTCTCATCCACCAGGGCATCTATGGCGACATCCCGCGCGGAAGTGGGCAGCGCATCGTGGCAGTTCCATTCCCACTCGGATGGTCGCTCCAAAGGGCGCTACTTGGGGAACGCTTCTCAGCGCTGCGGATTCTCCATGGAGGCGTGGGTCTCCTCGGAGCGGGTCCCGCGCAAACTGGTTCTTTGCCACTTCCTTCCCGGTTTCATCCTCAAGACAATCCTCTGAAGTGCAGATCTCTTATTGAAATTTAACAGATTGCAGAAACCTCTAAATAGCCTTCCACTGAAGTGGAGGGAGAAGCCTCTGCCCATGAAAGAGGGGGAGAGCTGGGGCCGGCACACCTCGGGCGCGTCACGAGAAGGCAAGGCTCCCCCGAGGAGACAGTCCTGCTCCGGCAAGCCCGAGAAGAGGAGAAGACCCGATAGGAGAGGCATGCGCTCCGCGGAGGAAGCCACGGCCCGGATGCTGAGAACTGGGAAGGCTGTCCAGAACAGGGGCGTTGGGGGGTCTCCTTCACGGGGTCACGCAAGTCGGGGACCCCTTGACAGCACATAGCAGTACTCCACACATGTGGCTCAGCTGTCCCAGAAAGCTGTCCCTTCCCGAAGCTCCCGGTGTGGCCGCGCATTTTCTCGGAGGACTGCACCCAGAACGAATTAATGGGCTTCAAACGGGTTCAGACAACGCCGTGGGGAAGGGGGCTGTCAACAGCCACTGGCCACAGTGGCCCACGTCCCATACCGGGGACTTCCGCATGCCGAATGCTGGGGAAGCCAAGCACGTGGGGGCCTGCCCACCCCCCCCCGGGCGCTTCCACCGGGGCAACGGGTTGCCTGCTGTGCGGACAAGAGGGCCAGGCAGGGACCCGCTCCCTCGGGCCTGCTCCAGAGGAGCTCTTCCGGCGCTCTTCGTGGGAGGTCCCTGCAAGCACCAAAGAGGCTTCTCGCCGAGGGCCTCCTCCGGCAGGGCAAGGCGCCGCCGGCCTTTCCTGCCACGGCCCGTGGCTCTTTCCGGCAGTGCCACAGGGGCCTGCGGAGGCCCCGCCAGTCTCTGGCGCCTGCTCTGGAGGGTGGGCACACCACTCCTGGGCTCTGCACCAAACAGGGGTTGGCACCACGGCAGCAGAGGCTCCGTGGGTCCAATAGCTCCTGTGCGATGAGCTTAATTTACAGGACACGCGTCTGAATTTGAGTGCAGCCTGAAGGAACACCGGCAGTCGCACGGGCGATCCAGCAGCACGGCTGAGCAGAGGCACGGGGTGGGCCACCCGAAGGCCGTGCACGGAGCCCTGCAGCCGCCCTGGCTGCCCGACCCCCGTCTCGGGGCGCAGGGCCTCTGGCGAGAGGCGAGGCAGCCGTGGGAGCGGAGTCGCTCACCTGTCGTACGCCGCAATCATGAAGTTGAGGAGGAGGCTGATGGATTGCTCCACACTGATCTGGTGCGTGGACGGAAGGCGTTTGTTCAGCTGGTAGTAGATGGACGAAATGATGGTTTCCAGTCGAGACACGTTGATCTCTGTGTTATGATCCAAAGTGTTAAGGCCGTTGTCTCGGAAGGCTTCAATCATGTTCCAGATGTCCACAAGGTGGACTGGGGGGGAAAGAAGAAAGTGTTTCGCTGCCCGGCCAGCCTTTGTGACGCGCTGTCCAGGCGCAGGTGCCGATTTCGAATCTTGCATGCGCAGCCACAAGGCGCCTGGCAGGGCAGGAGGCAGGCGGGGAACTCGCAGCCCAGGAGCCAGGCCTTTGCAGGGCGAGGGAGGAACGGAGAGAACTACCCCACGGCCCCCGGCCGGCGCCCCACCAGCTTCCTTGCCCTGAAGTGGAGGGTGGAGGGAAGGGCCACGCACCACCTCTGCACACACCAACCGGGGATGCCCGGCGCCCCGGAGGGGGCACGTTCTGGTGGAGGAGCAAGGGAGAAACGGGGATGGCAACAGGGGCAAAGGCCATCTGCCTGCGGAGGATCATCTGTTCCCTGCAAAAGGCCGCCGTCGCCGCCAGCTCTGCCCGCTTCCCTGGCCCGGTGCCCAAAGGCGCCCCTGCTTCCCTCGCGCTGGCACTGCCACCGCACCGCTCCCACAGACCCCGCGGCCCTGGCTGTGGCGGCAGCAAAGGCCACGGGAAGCCCCAGAGCGCCACTGCCGGGCCTCCCGTGTGGGGGCCACACGAGGGCCCCGTGCAGAGAAGCGCAAGCAGGGGGCACGTCACGCGCCAGAGGAACGGCACGCGGGAAGACGCAGTCCAGCTGCCCTGCCCCACGGGGGGGGGGGGTGTGTGTGCACACGCCCAGGGGCGCCAGAGCCCGTTCTTGCCGGGCCGCCCGTGCTTCTGGGGGCTTCCCACACAGCGCCCCCAGGCCGGAGAGCGGCAGCGGCATTTCTGCTGAAGGTGAATTGCATGGCAGCAAATGAAACCAATGTGGGGGGGTCCTAATTTTGCAGTATCTCTTCAACACGAGCTAGAATTAGCTCGTATCTTCCCAAACAATTGCAAATTTGTTTTGACTTGTTCTTAAGGTACAACTACATTAGTGTCACGTGGGAAGAGTTATGGGTGTAAGAATTCTGACTCTGCCAGACTTTTAACTTACGATTGCATCGTTTCTGCACAAAGCGCAGCTTGCAGGCGGTGCGATACGTCGACAGCCTGATGACATCAAAATTCTGGGCTCCTGCAAGTGAGAAGCAAAAGCCACCTTGAGAAGGCAGTCCTCCTTCGCAGGGACACGGAGCCCCCGGTGACAACCCAGTGACTGTCACCCATGCCGAAACCGCGCTCGAGGGCCGGGCATGACCAGCCTCCTCACGGCCTGAGTGGAGCATTGCTCCGTACAAACCAGGTCCCTGCTACGTCCAGGTGTGGGGCATGGAAGCGCCCCCACTGCGGCCTGAGGGGGGGCAGCTCAGGATCCACATTTACCTACTTAGTGTGAACTAAGCAGAATTCCTTCCCCACGTACGGAGTCAGAACTATGGGTCTGATTTCTCTAACGGAGAGCTAGAAAAGACGCGGAGCAGAAACCCAGCAGGCTCAGGGTGTTTATTCTGCCCCCTTTGCTGATCTGGGCCAGTCCTAGATCGGCTCAGTGGGACAGGCACCTGGGGCTCCGAACTACACCCCTACCTGTGCCCCCCCCCCGCACTCTGGCCCTTGTGCCCCGGCAGGGCGCCATTCCACCCCCAGGGCCAGCACAAGGAGGTCCTCCGGCGGGATGGAGCGAGGCACCATCGCGGCTGGAGGACGCGCAGCCGTGCCCGTCCGCAGCACCGGGGTCAGCTGGGGCCGCGCAGCTTCTGCACAGAACCTGGATGCAGGCCGAGCTTGGCTCTCGGTGATACAAAAACCCGGTGAGGAGGCAGGCCACAGAAGCAGAGAACAGGCCAGCCGCCTGTTCCGGATGGGGCCCTCTCCTCTGGAGGAGCAGCTGCGTGCCCTGGAATGCCCCCTGCTCCTTTCTGTCACGGGATACTCAGATGGCCTGGGGGTCAGCACGGGACGCTGCTCCACCTTCCGGAAAGCGCCATGAGGGGCCCCTAGCATGGCCTCCACCACGCCCACGTTTGGGCATCTTTTCACGTGGGCTTGCACTAACGTGTAACGCAGTCAGATACAAGCTGAGCTTGCTTGCTGGTTCACCTGGATTTCAGCAAGGCCTTTGACAAAGTGCCCCATGATATCCTGGTGGAGAAACTGAGAACTTTTGGATACACCAAAGCACTGTGCGGTGGATTAGGGCATGGTTGACTGACCGAAAGCAGAGGGTAACCATTAGCGGGGAATCGTCGGGATGGCAGCCAGTGACAAGCGGGGTCCCCCAGGGCTCTGTCCTGGGGCCGATCCTGTTTAATCTTTTCATTAACGACATGGAAGAAGGGTGAACAGCCTGCTGATCAAATTCGCAGATGACACTAAAACTGGAGCAGTGGCCACAAATGAGGAGCAGGTACTCCAGATCCAAAAGGATCTGGACAGACTATGGAAGAGGGCAGGAGACAACAGGATGGCGTTCAATGTGGGTAAGTGCAAGGTCTTCCACTTGGGGCATAGGAATGGGTGTCATAAGTACAGGTTAGGGGACAAGTGGCTGGAGAGCAGCATTTGTGAAAGGGACCTTGGGGTGCTGGTCGGCTGCAGGCTGAACATGAGCCAGCCGTGTGATGCGGTGGCCAAGAGGACAAACGCCACCCTTGCTTGCATAGCCAGAAGCGTGGCTTCTAGATCAAGAGAGGTATTATGCAGGTATGTGAGGGGGTGTCACACGGAGGTGGGTAGAGACCTGTTCCCTCTGCAGAGGAAAGCAGGATGCGCCCCAATGAAGCAAAGCTCAGGGAGCCAAGGTTCAACTTGGATGCCAGGAAGCACTTCCTGACAGTCAGGACCCCGAGGGTGTGGAATGGGCTTCCACGGGAGGTGGCTGAGGCCCCATCGGGGAGGGTGTCCAAGGACAGGCTGGACGTGCACATGGTGGGCATGTCGTGAGTGGAGCCGGGTGTCCAACTAGATGGCCCAGCAGACCCCTTCTGGCTCTTTCTGTTTCTATGTTACTTTCCTGTTCGGTATCTGTTTGTTACAGTCTTTGTTCGCTATTGGCGTGCTCCATCTTTAAAGGTTACTGCACAGCACGTGGCTGTGGAAAGCCATATGCACGCTTGGGTAATGGAGAAATAATATTAAATTGTGCATCAGCTGCTGTCAGTCAAGATCCTCCTGGACAGTCTAGACCAGCCTTGCTCCACCTGGGAGCCTTCAGAGGCATTTGGACTGCAGCTCCCAGAATTCCCACCCAGTGGGGCCCCTGAGTGGGAATTCTGGGTGATGCAGTCCAAATGTGTCCGGAAGGCACACGGTTGGGAATGCTGCTCTAGGCAAACAGGTAAGAAATGCTGCAGGACAGGAGAGCCGCTGGCGATGCCTGTGCCCCGTGAACTCGCAGGCGTCGTGTGGGAGGCCACGCACCAGCTTCTCCCCGCCGCCACCCCGTTGCATGTCACACGCAAGGAAAACTGAGTCCGAACCTGCCGCTCGGTCGAGCCTTCGCACCCAGTTCTGGGGATGAGTTGCCGTGAAGCCGGGGGGACCACGACAGCAGGGGCAGGAGCACGGGGGTCTGCCGTGCGGAGCGCCCGGCCCAGCTCACCGGAGCCAATCCCGTCGGCATGGCACGTCTGCTGCGGCCCCCGCCGCGCCCCCGCAGAGCAGCCGTGTGTGCTCGGGACGCCTCCGCTGGTGCCATGCCCTGCAAGCTGAAGGGGCGTCCGGGCAGCAGGAAGCCCTCCTGGTCCTGTGGGGGCTGCCAGGAGCACCCGTCCGCGCCAGAGCGGGCTCCGGGAGCCACGGGGCGCAGAGAGGCTGTGGGGAGGGGGACAGACACGTTCCGCCACACAGGAGGACGGCTGCTCTGCACGCACAGGGGTCCTGGCTCAGACCACCAGCTCCAGGGAGGGCGGGGAATGCCCCGGAAGGCTGCTGCCACTGCAGACAGCGCTCAGCCGGGGGCTGCCATGAAACCAGGCGGGGGGGAGCGTCTCCTCCTGGAGGACTCCTTCGGGATGGGGTTCCCTAAGAATTTCTGAGAGTCTGCCTCTGGTCGGGATGAGCCTCACTTCAAGCTAGTCCTGAGAAAAACAAAAAGCAAAGGCACTTCGGACTTTTCTTCCCAAAGCCAGAGACAGACAGCTTTCCAAGACCCTTCAAAGCTCCTCGAACGCAGCAGCAGCTTGTTCACCCTGCTGGCTGTTGTGCAGGGGAGAGAGAGAATCTCTCTTCGCATACGAGGGAATTCACTTAACTGGGGAAAGAGAGACGGGAGCGGGCGCAGGGAAGGCACCGAGCGCATGCCCAGCCGGAGCGCCGGGCACTCGCGCTCCCCACTGAGGGGGACCCCCGGGTCCGGAGCCCTGCCAGGTCCGAGGCAGGGAGTGAGAGTGAGCGCCGGGCAGCCACTCGGCCGGCACGTGGAGCGCCCCGGCGGCCGGAGGGCACCTCTGCGTGAGGACGAGCCCGCCCTGGGCAGCAAGCGCTGGCTGGCCCGCTCACGGCCGGCCTCCGTGTCTGAGGCCAGTGGCCCCCCACTGAGAAGCGCAGGACGGACCAGCCCGGCCGTCCAAGGAAGGGAATCAGGCTCCGTCTGCACACGGAGGGCAAAGGGAGGCGCCGCTCAACCCGCACTGAAGCTTGCCCAGCAGGCGGCCACCCGGCCTGCTGCTCCAGAGGCGCTGTGGGTCGGCGGGCCAATATCGCCCTGTGCCTCGCACGACCACCTCAGTCAGGGAGGCATCCTGCGCACACACGACTGCAAGGTGCTTCCCACGCTCCTGCACGGCCCGTCCCTCACACACGCTGCTTGTCCTCGTGGCACAGAAGAGGGTGCACCGAGTTCGCACGTGCACATCCCCCCTCCCCCCCACCTTTCCCAGCCTCTGAGCATCTCTGCTTCCTGGCCCCAGTGGCTGCCCCCGCGCCTCCCCTGCCCCTTCCTGGGCTGCCCGTGGTGAAGGGGGGGCCGGCCCGAAAGGCCTGCCCCCACCTTCCCTGGGAAGCTGGCGCTTGGGGGCTGGACCAGCAGCAGGCACGGCCAGCGGGTCCACGGGTCAGGCCGACGCCTGGCATGACTGGCGCCCCCGCAGGGCCCCGTGGTGGAAGGGCACGGCGCAAGAGCTCCTCGCCTCGGAAGGCACGTGAAGGCGGAGGGTAAAGGCGCAGACTCCAGGGAACGCCGCTGCAGATGTTTCCCCCGGCAGCCCCAATCCCTCGTGAGAAGCTGCCTCTGGAACAGCTGCAGCCTGTCCGAAGCGAAGCCGAGAGCTCGAGAAGCGTTCCACTTACTCATCTCCATGAACAGCTGCCTCTTCTCTGCCATTGTCCGCCTTCCGCTCTCCTCAATCATCCTAAACACAAAGTCAGAGTTTCAGCCACATGTTCCTCACACAGAGGCAATGCGCTCATCAGCTGAGCTTCTGCATCAATCTGCTCTCGCAAGGCACGCAGGGAGCAGGCGAGGGAACCCGCCGAGAGCGCAGGACTCCTCCATCGGCAGCCGAGCCGGAGCACACCACCCAAGACGCAGGCGCCAGCAGCCCAAAGAGCGTGCCACACGAATGCGAGGCAGCGACCGCCAGGGCCCGTTTCCCTTCAGCAGGGGAAGGGAGCTCGTAGCCCCCTGGCTCCGGCCGCGGCACGCAGCTCCCACGCCTGGCTCGCTACCCGGCGCCGAGAGCCGCTTCGGGCTGCTTTCCTCCACCCTGCTCTGCCGCTGCTCCAGGCCGCTCACCAGCAGAGCGACCGGAGGCGCCGATTCCGCCCTGCCACGCCAGAGGCTGCAAAAGAACAGCGGTGCTGCCCCACCTACACGGTACCGGAGGCACAAGCTCTGCTTCCTGCCGGAAACGGTTCCGCCACAATGGGGTAATGCTGGCTCGCATGGCAGGGCCTTCCTGGGAAAAGCTGCTCAGCTATGAACATGTGGCGTGACCTCCCCCACTGGCTTCGCGGCCAAGCCAGTTACTCGAGATGACAATGAGCTTGTTTAGTGGAGCTGCACGAGGCCCTTAGATGTGGCTAAGAACCCGTGGCACGTTTTCTGCATGTTCCTTTTCTGCGACAGACCAAATACTCTCACGAAGGGGCACGCAGCTCGAGCACGCAGCTTCCGTGACCCTCGACGCCTGGCCGCGCTGGTCGCGCTGTTGCAAGTTGTCGGCCAGAAATATTTGGACGCCCACAGGTTGCCCGTCCCGGCCCTGAGCCATGAGCAGCAGCTGCCTGCATGTGCCGAGAGAGATTCTGGAGTGCTAACTTTAAAGGGATTGTTCAAATTCTTTCCTCTTCCCATCGCTGCTGCAGGGAAAGCAGGACGCCTGCTAAAATAGGGTAAAAGTTCCACTGGAAAAAAGCGGAAGAAAAGAACAGGAGAGTGTTCCAGGCGGCCGCTGGGATTGTTGAGTCTCGATAGGCAGGATGGGCCCTGTGGCTGATGGGGAGGGCTCAACGGCAACTCAATCTATCAATCAATCAATCAACGAAATGCCTACTACATCTCATCCTGTAGGTGTTCCCTGGTTGACAGGATAGTTTATCTAGCGAGCTTATTTCACAAGCACTGAGACTGCCGAGGGCAGGGGTGCCCAGCCGCTCATCAGGCCAATACTACAGGACCTATTTTAAGAGGTTTCGCTCTTGTTGGAGCTCATCAGCTGTAGGTAACGGCCTGTTTGCAGCAGTGTTGCCAGGGGAGCGCAGGGATCAGGTCCGCAGGAAGACGAGGGCGAGGGATGGTGCAAACTGGTGTCCCACAAGAGCAAGCATCGGACTCGGTGGCCTTCTTCACCCCCTCCAACGCTACTGTTCAGATTCTAAATCCTGTGACCCCAAACATGCCTTTTGCCTCTAAACGCTCTTTCGTTGGACCTTCTAAAGCATTAATCCAAGCACTTTTAGGATTTGAGCTATCAGTTGTCTACATAGATTTCATACACTTTTAAAAAATACTGCACTGATTTAGAATATGTTCTTTTGCTGACAAGAAAACTACCATTTTATAATTAAAAGTAAAACACCCTGAGCGCCAACCGACAGACAGCATGCAAGGGCCGAAACGGGGCGCTGGTCAGTCGCATCGAGGTGGCGAGGCCAAGCACGCCGAGAGCCGAGTCCGGCGCCGATGGAGCGGAGTGGGGCCCGCCTCCGGCCGGGCCAGGCAGGCCACGGCGAACAAGCCGGTGCGCGGCAGCAGATTTAACTTCTTCTCAGGCGGGAGGTCAGGAGCCACGCCATCGCTTGGACACCAAGCCCCAGGATCACTTTTTTCGTTGTTCGCTCGCTCCTGATAATATCTTACCCTGCTTGAAGAAGTTCTCAGGGTGGGTCACAACGAGGTTAAAAACACAGGGCTGCAATGACGCGCCATGAGTAGATGCGCAATGAAGCATGTGCCAGCAACGCTCGTGGCAAGAAGGTGCGCCGACGTGCTGCCAGAGCGGGGGGCGGGCAGGCCGGGGCCCAGGCACCACCTCAAGGCGGCCCACCCCGCCGCCGCTGCACAATGCCCTTCCCGAGGGCCCCCCTGGAGTGCGACTGGGGGGCCCGGAAGCCGCCTCCCTCCCCACAGAGCAGCTTCCTTGCCGGCTTCCTACGGCACGGCCTCCCACGAGGAAGGACCCGAGCGTGGGTCCCTTGTGGCCAGCCCTCCCCACCCGGAAATGGCTGCACCCCCCCGAGCCAGCCCCAGCCGGTAAAAGTGGCCCTCCGTGCCCCCAGAGCAGCCTGGGAGGTGAAGGCAGATGCCAGCAGAAGGCTGCCCAAAGCCGGCTGGACAGGCCGGGACGGAAGAGGAGAAACTTGCGAAGAGGAAGCCTTCCTTATCTGTACGGGAAATAAGCAATGCTTTCCAGCGCCTATTTACTTTTACTTCCTTCTCGTTATCCCAACGGGCAAAACCGAGATACACGCGACTGCCTTCCAGGGTAGCACTTTGCTGTTCCACCCATGAATCACGCCGTAAACGGAAACGGGGCAAGCAAACAGAAGAGACGGTGGCGATGTTCACATGGCTTGATTCAAGCTGCAGCCACGCTTCCAGGCTTCCCAAAACTAGCGCTTCCCAGAAGTGTTGAATTGTGATTTCCACAATTCCCAAACAGCACTGGGGTGGCGGGGAGACTCCCCTTATCGTTTTCGATTTCGTATATGCACCGGACAGTACTCCTATATTTGCTAAGCTGCAGAGTGCCTATTTTGACAGAAATGTGAGGGCCGGCATGGAGAAAGGGGTGGGAGTGGTGGACGGGGAGCCTGCCTCTACTCACCGTTCAGCCACGAAGCCGCTGGGCCAGGTGCTGAGCTGGTCTGCCCCCCCCGCCCCCCGGCTCGGGCTGCCTCATCTCGGAGGAGCTGTGGTCCCCCCAGGCCCTCCCTGCTTGCAGCAGTCCAGGGAGGGCCGCTCTCAGGAGGCAGCGAGCACGGCAGGCCTCGCAATGCTCCCCGAGTTTTCCCGGAGGCTTCCGGGCCTTGGAAGGGCATCCGGCGGGAGGCTGTCCTAGCCAGGCGCCAGCAGAACGCTCCGGGACTCGCCTTCCCAGCAGGCCTCGGGGGCATCTCAGGTGCGTCTTTTCCCAGCGACAGGTGCAGGGGGAGAGAAGGATGTTGCCCTTTTCCTGCTCAAAATGCCATACCTATCCTAACTGTTGATTTTGGCATTTTACACGTTTTAGCTGTTTAGGAAACTACACACAGATCCACGATTAAGCAGGGTTAGAACAGGTACTCCAGTAGTATAGATCACTCCAGTTTAGGATGATAACGTTCTCCCCTGCCCCCACTCCCCCCAAAATCACCGAGAGACACAGTGTGATTCTGATGGATTTCACAAGCCAGACACCGCTAAGCCATACCTGGGAGTTATCTTAAAATAACGACAGGCCTCACCATCAGAAAATTAGCCGCAGGATTCCCATTTTTAAAGATAGCTGCCTTTGGTGAGAAGTTTCCAGCCCCTGAAAAGTGCCCGAGATGCAAAAGCTACCCATGACTGCTGATCAGATGAGAGGCCTCACTTGCTGAGAACTCTGCCCCCGCAGCAGCCGACTGGATGCCTGGGGGATCCCACAGACAGGCAGGCCCGCCCTCCCGCCATGTTTCCCAGGAACTGTTCCTGAGAGGCACGGTTCTTGGATCCTGGAGGTGATATGCAGTCACCCCGATCGGTGGCCATTGATCTCTGTAGCAGAGTGAACATTTGGTTCTAAACCTGCATGCAAGAGAAGCAATCACAGAATCATTCAGTTGGAGGTACCTCTGAGATCATCTAGTCCTGCTCAGTACAGGTTCTGTGCTGAGGGGCGCAGCTACAGCGGTCCCGTTGGATGGCCATCCAGCCCGTTTCAAGACCTCCAGCCAAGGAGAACCTGAATCCACCCAAGGTTTGGTTCCTGACTCCTAGCAGAGCCGGGCAGAGCAAGTTGCCCAGATGGGCCAGGGCCTCCGGGAAGCAAGCAGCCCATTTCCCAGGACGTGAGTGAACGGGGAGAACAAACGGGAGGCTGATGGCAGAGATCCGCAGGGGAGGTCTCTCACGTTTTTCCTCCTCCTTTTCTCCCCCGTCTGTCTGTCTTTCCCCTTCGTTCCCCGTCTTCCTTCTGGTAACTCACACCCATTTGCTCGTAGGACTTCAATGCCAGTCTTTAGCGAAGACACGAGAAAGCCCCAGCTGCCCCCACAAACCCCAAGACAGAATCGCGCTGGCTGCGCGGACGACAGACCGAGAAGGCTCCGTGGTGGGGGCGACCTACAGCAGGGGTGCCGTGTTTTCTCACCTGAGAGCAGCGTGGCCAACTCGTGCGATAAGTGCACGCCGGTCGCCCTGTAAGAAGGAACGGTGAGAGCGCCAGAACAGAGGGTGGCCACCCGCCAGGGCATGAAAGAAGAGGAAGGACTTTTAGACCAAGCCATGGAGCTGCGACAGCTAAGAGGAGCCCAGAAGCAAGAGGCGCGGCGGCACACCGAGGCGGAAGAGGACCCCGGCGGAAGGGAAACGAGGAAACCCCTGGGACAGGGTGAGAGCTGCAGAAGACAATGCGGACACCGCACCCGCGGAAGCCGTGGGACTTCGGAACCGCCTTCGAGTCACTTGAGGAAGAGACGCCTGGGGAAGACGTGGTGAAAGCCCGGCACGACACGCTGGGCGGCCCCGAGAGAGAGACTGAAGGTCAGTCAAGACAGGAGAAAGATACCGAAGTGCAGTCCGCAATGACAGAGGGAGAAGAGAGATCGTGGTGGGGGAATCCCTGTTGTGCCAGATGGAAAAACACGCATGTCGCGACAATCTGCAGAATTACTAAATTCGCTGTCTCCCTGGAGCCAAGATTAATGATATAACCAGTAAGTTCACACATCTCAT